ATAATGAAAAGGTCTAAGATTCAAATGATTTTTAGTATCTAAAGAGCACACGCAAAAATTCGAAACTTCTAATTGAAATACTAATGCAAATTTCTCCAAACCAAAGTCTTTCAGTTTTTTTTTTTTTTTTTGACAAATTTAAGCCTAAGGAAAAACACGGAGAAAGTACTTCGTTGGAAGTGTGGAAAAAGTTGTTACAACGGCTAATAGTGACATACAACAGTAACATTAATTAGTCATGCACCCTTTCGACCTATAAGTAGGGGCTTTCTGATTTTTGCTCGACGCACTCAAAACACCTCATGAATATTGTGTGAAAGCATTGATTAGTAGCCAAAAAAAAAAAAAACCATCTCTAAAGATCGAGTCTGTTAACTTGTAACAATATGATCAAATTCACTCCATTCATTGTGTTATGGTTTGTCTTTTTGGCAAGTAAGATTGTTCTTAGTCTTCACGCAGGAGCATATTCAAATGTTAGCTGTTTTGAGAACGAGCGACAAGCTCTCCTCGAGTTTAAGAAAGGTTTAATTGACAACTCAAATCGTTTGGCATTTTGGACCGGACAAGATTGTTGCTCATGGGAAGGAGTTGGATGCAGCAGGAACACTGGGCATGTGGTGAAACTTGATTTGCGTAATAACGTTGTTTTTGATCGTGCTCGATTGATCTTTGGGAACACACTCAATTATGTCTCTATCTATGGTGAAACTTGCTTGGGAGGCCAGATAAGTCCTTCGTTAGTGAACTTGCAGCATTTGCATTACTTGGATTTAAGTTCGAATTATTTTGCAGGAATTCGAATCCCGACATTTATAGGATCCTTGAAAAATTTGAGATATTTGAACTTCTCTAATGCAGGTTTCGGTGGGACAATTCCTCCCCAATTAGGAAATCTCTCAGCCTTAGAATATCTCGATCTTGGTAAAAAACTTTTAACTTTTAGTTACGATATAGGTGGTTATCAATTGTCCACTAAGAGTCTCTGGTGGGCCACTAGTCTTTCTTCCTTGAAACATTTGGACCTCTCGGGAGCGGACTTAGGAAAGGCTCAGGACTGGTTACAAGCACTTAATAAACTTCATTTCTTATCTTCTTTAACATTAGAATATTGTGGTATTTATTCCTTTCCTTATATTGCACACCTTAATTTCACATCTCTTACCTCACTTGATCTCGGAGGCAATGAATTTAATTCCACAATCCCTCTCTGGTTGTTTAATTTAACTTCACTCGTTCATCTCGACCTTAGCGGCAACAGTTTTTTCGGTCCAATAGTTCCTCACAGCCTTCAGCACTGGACTTCACTAAGCTACCTCGATCTTAGCGGCAATCGATTCAATACCTCACTGCTCGATCCGCTTTTCACTTTCAAAAATCTCGTCCATCTGGACTGGAGTAATAACCAAATCCAAGGCCCGCTCCCCTTCAGCCTAGGCAACCTAACTTCTCTTTCCGTACTGCACATGGGAGATAACAGCTTTGAAGGCCCAATCCCAAGTGCGATTGGGCAACTTCGAGAACTCACCGAACTCGATCTCAGTTCCAATGGGTTCAATGGTACCATTCCATCCTCTCTTTGGAGGCTGAGTGAGTTGAAATCCTTGTTTCTATCTGACAATCCATTGAGTGGGGAGTTGCGTGACATTCACTTTGCCCAACTCGCACAACTGAAAGAATTAAGCTTATCCTCCACTCTACTCGCTCTGAATGTGAGTTCCTCGTGGGTCCCATCATTCCAGCTTCACACTATAGATATGAGTTCCATGAAGATAGGGCCCAAATTTCCTCTCTGGCTTCAAACTCAGAAAAGAGTCGAAAGTCTGGACATGTCAAATGCAAGCATCTCAGATACTATCCCAGATTGGTTTGAGAGACAGTGTCATGGTATAAAATCTTTGTATTTCTCCAACAATCACATGATGGGAAAACCACCCGTGTGCAAAGGCAACAGTGGTCATGAATTTCGCAAAATATTTTTTTTGGAGTCCAACAAATTCGAGGGGCCTTTGCAATTGTTACCAACAGACATTTCTCGATTGTATCTTAAAAATAACTCACTGCAAGGGATTATTCCACACCCCGACATTAACATGACATTGGATATTCTTCGAGTACTAGATCTCAGTGATAACCACTTCATCGGCAGCATCCCTGATTCGTTGTGCAGCTTACAAATGCTTGTTGTCCTGGATCTTTCTAACAACCAGCTCTCTGGAAGGATCCCCTCATGCATTGGTAAGCTTAAAACGTTGGGTGCGCTACTTCTGGCAAACAACAATCTCTACGGGCACATTCCAATTTCATTGGGACATCTCAATGTTCTCGTGTCTTTGCACATGAACCGAAACAATTTTACAGGGATGGTCCCATTCTCTCTCAGATATCTGGAAAAATTGCAGTATCTTGATCTTGGAAATAATGGGCTGGAGGGCCTTATACCATCTTGGATTGGGGATGAACTATCTAGTCTGAGGATCCTTGTGCTTGAATCTAATAATTTCCACGGTGACATTTCTGTGAGCCTCTGCAAATTATCATCCCTTCAGGTTTTAAATTTGGAAGACAACAACTTAACTGGCCATATACCTCGCTGTTTTAACAACTTTACAGCAATGACAGAATCGAACTCTGTTACCTACATTAGTGTCCCAGTTTATATCATGCCACAAGTCCATGCGGTTTATGGGTACAATGAAGAAATTTCAGTGCTCATCAAAGGTGAAAATCTGAAGTACACTACCACCAATGTGCCATATGTAAGATTCATGGGGCTCTCAAAAAATAAATTAAGTGGGGAAATACCTGTCGAGTTAACGTCTCTGGTTGGATTGCAAGGTTTGGATTTATCTAGGAACCATCTAAGTGGAAGAATCCCAGAAAACATTGGGAACTTGAAGCAACTTGAGTCTCTAGATTTATCCAAAAATGACCTTTTTGGTCCAATTCCTCAAAGTTTGTCGAACTTAAATTTTCTGGGCTGGCTGAACTTGTCATTCAACAAGCTAACTGGTCGAATTCCATCCGGACGTCAACTGCAGACATTAGACGACCCAACCATATACATGGGAAACAGTGGACTTTGTGGTGGACCGCTAGGCAGAAGCTGCCCTGATGAATCTGATGGTAAATCAAATTACAGAGAATCGGGTGATCATGAGGATGGCAAGGAGTCTTATTTTTATTGGTTTTATGCTGGTTTGGGACCTGGTTTTGCTGTTGGACTCTTGGGATTCTTCAGTGTCCTATGTTTCAAAAAGTCATGGCGCTATGCATACTTCGGATTTCTGGAGAGCTTGTTGAATAAAGTATGGGTAGAAATTGCATTGCTAAAAAGGAAGTTTAATTGAGTGATTTTACATGTATCATCAATTATAGTTGTAATGTCATGGTACTTCATCTCATTGTAAAATAATAAAGCATAAATAAGACATTTCCACTTCATTGTGTTATGGTTTGTCTTTTTGGCAGATAGAATTGATCGTGGTTGCCACGCAAGAGCATATTCAAATGTAAGTTGCTTTGAGAATGAGCGAAAAGCTCTCCTTGAGTTTAAGAAAGATCTAATTGACAAATCAAATCGTTTGATATCTTGGATTGGAGAAGATTGTTGCTCGTGGGAAGGAGTTGGCTGCGGCAAGAACACTCGACATGTGGTGAAACTTGATTTGCGTAATAACGTTGTTTTTGATTCTAATCAATACTCCGATGGAGACACGCAAAATTATTCCTCTATTTATTTTGAAACTTGCTTGGGAGGCCAGATAAGTCCTTCATTAGTGAACCTGCAGCATTTGCATTACTTGGATTTAAGCTCGAATTATTTTGCAGGAATTGAGATCCCAGCATTTATTGGATCCTTGAAAATTTTGAGATATCTGAATTTCTCTAATGCAGGTTTCAGTGGGACAATTCCTCCTCAATTAGGAAATCTCTCAGCCTTAGAATATCTGGATCTTGGTGAAAAATCCGAAGGCTTCAGTGATTGGATAAGTGGTTATCAATTGTCGACAAAGAGTCTCTGGTGGATCACTGGTCTTTCTTCCTTGAAACATTTGGACCTCTCTATGGTATACCTAGAAGAGGCTCAAGACTGGTTTCAAGCACTTAACAAACTTCGTTTCTTATCCTCATTAACATTACGATCCTGTAGTATTTATCCCTTTCCTTATATTGCACACCTTAATTTCACATCTCTTACCTCACTTGATCTCGGAGGCAATGAATTTAATTCCACAATCCCTCTCTGGTTGTTTAATTTAACTTCACTCGTTCATCTCGACCTTAGCGGCAACAGTTTTTTCGGTCCAATAGTTCCTCACAGCCTTCAGCACTGGACTTCACTAAGCTACTTCGATCTTAGTGGCAATCGATTCAATACCTCACCGCTCGATCCGCTTTTCACTTTGAACAATCTCGTCCATCTGGACTTGGCTGGTAACCAAATCCAAGGCCCACTCCCCTTCAGCCTAGGCAACCTAACTTCTCTTTCCGTACTGCACATGGGAGATAACAGCTTTGAAGGCCCAATCCCAAGTGCGATTGGGCAACTTCGAGAACTCACCGAACTCGATCTCAGTTCGAATGGGTTCAATGGTACCATTCCATCGTCTCTTTGGAGGCTGAGTGAGTTGAAATCCTTGGATCTATCTGGCAATCCATTGAGCGGGGAGTTGCGTGACATTCACTTTGCCCAACTCGCAAAACTGAAAGAGTTAGGATTATCCTCCACTCTACTTGCTCTGAATGTGAGTTCCTCGTGGGTCCCACCATTCCAACTTCAAGTTATAAGAATGCGTTCCATCAAGATAGGGCCCAAATTTCCTCTCTGGCTTCAAACTCAGAAAAGAGTCGAATATTTGGACATGTCAAATGCAAGCATCTCAGATACTATCCCAGGTTGGTTTGAGAAAGTGTGTCATGGTATAAAATCTTTGTATTTCTCCAACAATTACATCACAGGGAAACCACCCGTGTGCAAAGGCAACAGTGGTCTTAAATATCGCAGACTATTTTCTTTGGATTCCAACAAATTCGAGGGGCCTTTGCAATTGTTACCAACAGACATTTCTCAATTGCATCTTGAAAATAACTCATTACAAGGGATTATTCCACACCCCGACATTAACATGACATTGGATATTCTTCGAGTACTAGATCTCAGTGATAACCACTTCATCGGCAGCATCCCTGATTCGTTGTGCAGCTTACAAATGCTTGTTGTCCTGGATCTTTCTAACAACCAGCTCTCTGGAAGGATCCCCTCATGCATTGGTAAGCTTAAAACGTTGGGTGCGCTACTTCTGGCAAACAACAATCTCTACGGGCACATTCCAATTTCACTGGGACATCTCAATGTTCTCCAGTCTTTGCACTTGAACCGAAACAATTTTACGGGGATGCTCCCATTCTCTCTCAGACATCTGAAAAAATTGGAGTACCTGGATCTTGGAAATAATGGACTGGAAGGCATTATACCATCTTGGATTGGGGATGAACTATCTCGTCTGAGGATCCTTGTGCTTGAATCTAATAATTTCCACGGTGACATTTCCGTGAGCCTCTGCAAATTATCATCCCTTCAGGTTTTAAATTTGAAAGACAACAACTTAACTGGACATATACCTCGCTGTTTCAACAACTTTACAGCAATGACAGTGACAGAATTGGACAGCAATGACAATATTTATGTCGGCATTTATGTCACGCCTCTAATGACTCTGTCAGGTACCTATAGTGAAGAACTTTCAGTTTTCATCAAAGGACGAATGTTGAACTACACCTCAAGCATTGTTCCATATGTTAGATTCATGGGGCTCTCAGGAAACAAACTAAGTGGGGAAATACCTGTCGAGTTAATGTCTCTAGTTGGATTGCAGGGTTTGGATTTATCTAGAAACCATCTAAGTGGAAGAATCCCAGAAAACATTGGGAACTTGAGCCATCTTGAGTCTCTAGATTTATCCAAAAATGACCTTTCCGGTCCAATTCCTCAAAGTTTGTCGAACTTAAATTTTCTGAGCTGCCTGAACTTGTCGTTCAACAAGCTAACTGGTCGAATTCCATCCGGACGTCAACTGCGGACATTAGACGACCCAACAACCATTTACATGGGAAACAGTGGACTTTGTGGTGAACCGCTGAACAAAAGCTGCCCCGATGAATCTGATGGTGAATCAAATGCCGAAGAATCTGATGGTGATCATGAGGATGGCAAGGAGTCTTATTTTGATTGGTTTTATGCTGGTTTGGGACCTGGTTTTGCTGTTGGACTCTTGGGATTCTTCAGTGTCCTATGTTTCAAAAAGTCATGGCGCTATGCATACTTCGGATTTCTGGAGAGCTTGTTGAATAAAGCTTGGGTAGAAATTGCATTGCTAAAAAGGAAGTTTGGTTGATTGATTTTACATGCATCATGAATTATTGAAAACCAGGATGTATGCTTCATCTTATTGTAAAATAATAAAGTATAAATAAGGCATTTCCACTTCCTTTTTGGCTTGCAGCCAAACGACAAAAATTTCTTATAAGATACAGGGACGACCAAGCAACGCAACACATAGAGCATTAGCTTTGGAAGACGTTTAATCTTATAATACAAATGTAGTTTTTAACTAGCAAAGATATATTAATTAACTCATCAATCTGTTAAAATAATCGGAGGTCAAGAAGGGACAATGCAGTCTCTTCGTACAATTAAAAATATGCATGCAGTCTAATTAGAGTCATAAAACATTCAAATTCAATAGAGATGAAAAAATGTCTCATTGTTTTGAAGAGAAGACGTATGAATTATCACATAATCAGAGTTAACCCATGCCCTTTTTTTCCCCTTTTTCAAGAAAGAAGGATGCCAATGTTTTACATGTTACAATATTAAATTGTTCAACAATAATATTAAATTGAGATTAAAGTAAATTCAAAATATTAAAAGCATATTTTAGCAATTTTTTCCCCCTCAAATGTTACTCTTCTACCTCTAGAATGGCATCATAAACGAACCACCAGTTTAAAGATTTTGTAGAACACTGACCCTTTTGGCTAAATTCATATTTTGTTCTATGAATCAGGATAAACCAGGCAATTAAATTTTACGCCACGCCTATAACAGCCATGCTGGGCTATAACTACTTGCACTATGTATTAAGTACTTGCTGTAGCAATTCGATCACTCAATCATGCTTGCAAAAGTTCTTCCAGCACCTAACAAATTGCCATGTCCTAGGGGTGTGACAGCATAATAGAGACAGCCAGTAAGTGCACCTTGATAAATAGTCCAACACTACCATAACATCCAACCCAAACAAAGCCAGACGACAATCATGAAGAACAAAAAGCTGTCTCTACAAGTCAAAGTATGTGTTTGAATGAACTCTTTGAATTTAAACACTAGCAAAACTTGTCTTGCAACCTCCAATAGCATCAAGTAACAATATGCCTCAAAATTTGTAGAATCCCCTAAAGCCATTGCCAATGAAAGCACCATTAAATACGGCTCAAGCCTTCCTAGATTTGCTGGTGGCCAACTGTGATTCAGGCTGTAAAATATAAGGAAAAAAATTTAGACATGAAGAGAAACACTCCGGAAATTCCAGACAAGAAGAAGATATAACTACGTATGTATTACCTCCTTTTTGACAGACTCTTCCTTCTCGGACAAAATCAACTCAATATGGCAGGGGGAGGACATGTAGGCTGGCCAAAAAGATCATACATTGAGGTTAATAGACATAATGGACAGAACAGAAAACTGAAAAAAAGTCATCTATCGGACATACGGTTTATTCTTCCATGGGCACGATATGTGCGGCGTCTTTGTTTCTGTGCTTGATTCACTTGAATGTGAGAAATGAAAAGTGAATCCACATCCAAGCCTTTCACCTACAGGATAAAATAACCGCTGCCAAAGTTGTACAAAACAAAGAAATTTAGATTACAACTTCTGGATGCATGGACAAACCTCTGCATTGCTTTCAGCATTCTTGAGCAAATCCAAAATGAAGCTAGCAGATTTAACAGGCCAGCGACCCTGTCCATTTGAATGCCTATTCTTGGCCTGAGCAGTACGCCCAACACCTCCACAGAAACGCGTAAACGGAATCGCCTGCTTATGGGCCAAAACATCCTCCAAGTACCTCTTAGCCTTCGCTAAAGGCAGCTTCCTGATGGCATGCGCTGTTTCCCTTGTGTTCTGTTAAAGAACAGGAGTACAGACGGTCTTTCAGATTGTATACTTGGATAAGAACTAGCTAAGGATTCAGACCAAACAACAAAGTAGCACCATTGAGGGATATAGCAGATTTTACATCATGAATTATGTACTGTTCCAAAGAAAACAAAAGACACATACTACTCTAGCAAGGTAACAACTCTAATACCACAAGAACTAAGATTTGCATCTCTATGCCCCAAAAAAGAACCAACATCAAAGCACAAATAAAGTTGTAGAAAAAGGAACATAGGGCATAACAGTGGATCCAACAGATTTTGTTGCAACTTTGAAATGCCCACTAGAACTTATTAATCATTCCCACTAGTATTCAATCAAAAACTAAATCAACGATATCCCACTCTCCCAGGAAATTCTGAAGGCAACTGACGTTCGCTAAGGATCGAAAAAGCTCATCAAGACATGAAGCTTACTTCTTGTCATCATATGCCAGTCTGATTAGCAAGATGGACATATAATAATGTCAGGAAGATGATTGTTGAAGGTTTTCAACAAGATAACGAAATACAACTGCCAATCTTCCCAAAAAAATTCATATCGCAGAGAATTCTTTCGAGCAAAGTGCAATGACAAATTAGCACAACGTCAATACACACAATCCCTGCTTTCTATAACACCGAGATGTGGATACTAAAACCCCAACCCACATCAAAATGAATCATAAAAGTATGTTAGGTTGAAAGGTACGGGGACTTGTCATTTACTAAACAATTATCTTCCCCACATACCAAGGGACAGAACATTCCCATTCTGCCAGCTTTTCTTTACTTCAAAATTAATTTTTTGAGAGCTGAAAACAAGGTTACAACCGTTCATCAATTTAAGAAATTAATACTAAAACATCCATGACAAACAAGCTAGTCTGAAGCCTACCAAATGCCAGTTGAAAACACAAGTTTTCCTCGGTTTGTTCTAATAATCAAAGAAAGACGACTATATAATCAAAATGTGCCATCGTTTACTGAACCGTGGATCATGAAGCTCAAGAGGTTCACCCAATAACAATGCCAAGTTTTATTTCCCTGAAGTTTACGAGAGACCTATTCATATTAAACGGCAACAGGCCCCTGCTTTTTTCATCAGGTTATACTACCCACAAGTCCCATAAAAAAACCCCAGAAGAACCTACAGGACCAATAAATAGCCAAAAAAAAACATATGGAGCAGGAAAAGAACTAAATGGCCTTTAAATAATTAGATCAAAGCATCCATTTTTTCAAGTGATTCCAGAGAGAGAGTGAGAGAACAATCCATACCTTGAAATGAACACGAAGATCAGATCCCCTGGCTTTGCAGGCTGCATTTAAAAAAAATTAAACAAAATTAGCACAAAAGCCTAAAAATCGATGATAAAATCTTTTAAAACAAATCTAAAAATGTAAAACCAAGTCAAAATCTAGCTTAAAACAAATAAACAAAAAAAAAGGGAGGGAGGAAAAGAGCAATTACACTTGGTAGGGTTATCGGGCTCCCTTGAGTACTTCACCTGGAAAAGCACCCCAAAGTACCAAAAAAATTGTTATAATTCGAGCATATTCGACATGAAAAATCAAAACCAAAGACGAAACCAACAATTACGCAAATTGTTATAAGGCAAAAAAGCAGGAAGAAGCTGTGAGAGGAGGAGAGGGGCGGGCGAACCATCTTTCCAGCTTCAGCGGCGGGTGGCAGAAACGGAAGGGAATACTCCTGCTAGGGTTTTTCCTACATATATAACAAAAAAAAGGGCTTTGGGCAGTTTTACTTTGGTCCGTCTCCTAGTGGGTGAGTCTTTTAGTAATTTCGAATGCCAAGTAAATCATTCATGCAGCTGAGAGTACAACCTTTAAAGCGGGTTATTTTAGTTTAGATTACTGATTTACCCTTTTCCAACGACCCTTTTACTATCTTGTCTGTTCAGTTCTATGGACTTTGGCTTTGGACCGTTTACGGTCAAATTTGTGTGGGTGTTAGGCTGGCTATGCGAGGATTGCTTTATTAGCCTATTTGACAATAGTGGTGGGCCAATAGCCCATATGATGTGTACTTTTGTTATCAGGCTTTTTGTGTGGGTTAGGTGTATTGCCGATGCATTATGAGAATCAAGGCCCGGTAGTGCCCTTCACTAAGAAATTTTGTTTTGCCCGTGTTTGCTTTGGCTATATGGATACAGATGTCATTTTAGCTGGGATGGTAGAGATTTTTTTTTTTTTTTGTCTTTTGGGATGGTAGAGTTAAAATTAACCACTTTGGCATGGGATTAGGTGGTAAAAGAAAACATTTCTTTCAATTCCAGATTTTCAGCGCTCTTCTTTTTTCAACAATAGTAATAATCTATACTACTCCTACACTACGAATAATGAGAAGCCTAAAGAGATTTTGTACGGAGACTGTAGAGGTTTGAATCCTCGACATAGTATACAAACTCTCCTGGGTCATTGGACGAATACTTAATTAATGATTCAGCGCAATACGTTAAAACATTCAAGGACAAATTTTTCCATATTTAAACTTGAAGCAAATGTTGATTTTCATTATCGCCCTAAATATTTGTATTTTTCCAGCATTCCAATTATCGTGTATGTTTTTCATATTCTAGAAGAAAGTTATCATGTATTAATAAGTTTGATCTTCGATGCTAGAATATATCCATATTTATTTTTTTTTCACTTGATTTTGCCATCTAAAACCAAAGAATAAAAAAAATATCTAAGATTCAAATAGTATAGCGTCTTAAGAGTACATGGAAATGATTCCAAAATTCTAATTGAAATACTAATGCAACAACAGAAAATTCTCATTTGGGGTGCAAATCTCTCCAAACTAAACTCCCTTTATGGGACAAAGGTGGCCTCAGTTCGTTTACTTCAATTCAAAGAAGACTTGAACCGGTGGAAGGGTGGAAAAAGTTGTAGCATCGGTGGAAATGTGCAGCACATGTTACCCCATGCCTAGTGTATGTGAATTATGTATCAAGTGAGGGTTAATATAATATTTTTGCAATTGCTAGGGGAGCTAAGTGATTATTTTTAAAACATCAGGGGTGTTAAGTGATATTAGGAGAAACCTTACTAATTTTTCATGATTTTTAACTACAACTGTTTTCAATTGTTGCCAAAACTAAGAAATAATGCACAGAAAAATAAAACAATAACGTATCAAAATAAGAATGAGAATGCCGTTAATGTGTAGTGGAATTGTTCAATGTCAATCTTTTGATTTGTTTTAAGTTAAACCCCCGATATAA